CCCACCGTTAACGCAGACCAGTTGTTTCCATAGGGAGCAGTAGCCGTTAACGCAGACCAGTTGTTTCCATAGGGAGCAGTAGCATAAATACCTGCCCGAGTGCCCCCCCCCCCCACACTCCATTAACACAGACCAATTGTTTCCATAGAGAGCCGTAGCATAAATAAATTAGCATATGCTAACCTTTTACTTTGGTGCGGGCAGAAGGCGAGCCAGCCCTTCCAGGTCGGCGAGGTGCGGGGGGGGGGCGGGGCTCGGGCCCAGCTGATACCCCCTCCCTGGGAAAGGCACAGCCCGTCACATCCACTCAGTGCTCCCTGGCCGGGGCCCCCCCACGCCTTCTCTCCTCTTGACTGACATAAAAATATGTAGCGACAAGCTGTCTGCCACAGCAGAAATCTGATTAGACATTGATTCAGCAATCGCTTCCATCGGCCCGGACATCAGGCAAATTTGTTTCAGAGAGTCTCTCATTGGCGATGCGAGTGTAATTCAGAGGAGCCGGCAGTGTGGCAAATACTGCATCAGGAGGAATTCACCTTTCCATTATTTATTTTTAAACTATTAATATACAGATGATCTCACACACGGGCGCGTGCATGAACACACACACAGATGTGGGGGAAACTACAGACTTTGACACTTAAGATCATCTCTAGCCACGTTTTTTTTTTCTTTCTTTTTGCTGTCTGTTGGATTTTCATTTGGATTTTGACTTTTATTGTTTATCATTGTTTTATTTATTTCTCATTTGTGCTGTTATCTGTTTCTTTTTTGTTTTATATGGATGTACCTTCATTTTAATAGCCCGGTTCCTCTTGGGGCTTTGGCGTTTGGTTGTTTGATGGTGACTGAACTGCTGTGTAACCTCGCACAGCTCTCTCTGATCTCCACAAACACCAGTTTGTCCTCTGCGTAGCAGCAGTTAACCCAGGCTACGCGGAACCTTTCTCACATAGCTGCGGTTTCCAGTCAGATCTGAATTCCTGGCGCACCTGCAGTAATTAACCCTTGTGTGTCTTTCTCTTCCCCATGCCAGGCTAATGGAGGGTGGCAGGATGCGGGCACTCCGTCCTCCGTGATTTCTCCCACAGAGGGGCCGGGGAGCGTCCACTCGGATACCTCGAATTGATCTCCCCACCGACGCTCCCCATCCCTATGCTGTAGAGCCCCGACTAGCACTGACTGGCCAACCAGAGAGGCAGGACAAACTTGGCGGGAGCCAATCATTCGCGGCGTTGCTCACCTTTTTTCCTGTTGTCATCGCCGCTCCCCCGCCACCCCTCTTAAGACATGCAGACAACAAACGGCAACCATCATGCAGGATTTCTTGTTCATGGGCAAGGCCTTCACCTTCTCATGGTGGAGTCATCCTCCATCGTCCAGGACAGCTTCTCAAACATACATATATACAGTATATATATGTAAATAATATAAAGCAGAACATTGTCAGGCGTGTTTCCTCCTGACGTTTATTTTCATGAAGAATGGGTTAAGGAGGCCAACGCCCAGTGGATTCTCTGTTCCGGAAATTTCTTCTGCAGCCTGGAAAGCCCCCAGGACCAGCTCCATTACCTCCCTCCTTGGCCAGGCTGTTGCTTGGCTCTCCAGCGGCCCCTTTTACACCCACCGAGAAGGACACCCGCATCCAAACACACCCCACCCTTCCTGAAGATGGGCAAATGGACGGCCACAGGCACCACCTTATGGTTCACGTCTGTGCAATTACTACAAGAACGGGACGACAAAAAGACAGAAGTGCTGGTAGACCCGTTACATACATATTGCTTGTTGTTTCTTTTTTTGAGGTCCATTTCCATCATTCTTTGTTCCCCGACCCGCGTTATTCAACAGCAGCACTCATAGCCCAGCTTCTGACCATTGTGTGCTAATTCACATGTTTAACAGGGCTAATATCACATTTACTGCCAGCTTGGAGGGGGGCGGTCCTCTTTTTTTATTTTTATTAGCTCACACCCACCCGTTTCTGATGCATTATGGACCTTTGCGGTGGCACAGAATGAAACATACCAAGTACATGCATTTCATTGTCGGAAAAACACTCTAAATTGGACACGGTTTAACAAAAAAAGTGAATATACTAAACATTGTGCGTCTTTGAGGCCATGTCTGGAAACAGCTACGTGTCTAATGCCAGTCCTTGTGGTTCATTTTGCCTGCTGGCAACACTGGCCACGTAAAACATCCCCACATATTGTAAATAATGTAGCGTAAGAGTATTTATCCATTCCACCAATCAAAACACAGCTTTATTACCTCATGCAAACTCATAGAAACCAATAGAATTCCAGCGTGTTCTATAGCTTAGAGTGCTCACTTACTACCTCTGAACAATATCACTACCATGTCGGTTTTTTTGGGAATTCTTACTTTGTATTTTATTTAGTTTGATTGCATCTTGTAATAAACTCCTCCTTTCCCTTCCTGTAATCTAATGTATATTTTAATCTTTTAAGAAAACTAAGTTGCTTTCTTGCAACTTTTAAAAAATATTAAAAAATAATGATTATGATGATGATGATGATGATGATGATGATAAAGAGTATGTGTGGCTGGGGGAGGGGTGAGTGGTGCCCACGAATTAACACCAAACAGTTAAACTGTTGTACATACGGACAAACATTTTGAATGTTGCTCATCTTGTTACTAATTCATGCAAAAAATAAGAAAAAAACGTAACAAAAACAGCTGTAATGCATAGAGTTTTCAGTATTCAGAAATGTACATTCAAGCTCTGTCTGACAGGGTCCAATTTTGCTTTTTTTTGTATTGTATGTGATTCTAAAACTGATAAAGTCATGGAAAGATTATTTGTGGCAGTGATTCTAATGTATTAAAAATGTTTCGTGTTACTTTTTAACCAGACTACACCCTGGACTGAAAAGTCTTCCTTGTGGTAGTTATATGTAGTTTCAAACATGAATAAACTTTTTGCTTTCATGAACGCCGTGTCCTGGAATTCCTTGCTGAAGGTTGTAACAAACATTCACACGCAGAAACACATTTGGATGGCTGTCACACACAGCTGCTGTTTATTATAAAACATAAGCCGCTGCAAGAGCTGGCCGACAGTCACATGGTCATGTCTTATCACAGGCCGCACCAAAGTCGCTTACCTGATATCGGATCGGCAAACGAGTGTTAGATGACAAGCATTCATATCCACGTTTGACATAAGACCCGCCTCGGCAATCATCAGCGATCTGCCCCTCGCACAACGTGAAACACGGAGGTTGTTCTCCGGCTGTGTTCAGGGGTGTGAGGACCCGGCTGAATCAGCGGGAGTGACCTGTCACGCACAGACGGCCCGTGACAGGACGGCACAGATCGCGCGGAAGGCAGCATGAGCCTTCTGACAAATGCGACCAAATCACTCGTCGCATGTAACTGAACTGCTGGGATCAGCATGGATCTGTGCTGATCCTAAATTGTGGATTATCTTAAAGAAACAAGCTGCAGTCATTTCTTTGGATGGCTGAATATTCCTTCCTCACAGCTTCTGACGGCAACCTGTGCACCCTGGAGTTCGGAAGGGTGATAAAAGTCATCCGAGACCAGAGGAATTTGGGGACCAGCCAGAACCGCAATGTGTCATGGAATGATCAACCTAGTGTGTGCATCTGTAAAAGCAGCACGCGAAGTGGAGTCCGTCTCAGGCAGTGCGGTAATGGCTTTGGGGAGGGTTGGGTGCGCTACCACGTTGCCATGGCGATTGATCACCAGCACCGTGCCCACACATGCCTCAAGATAATGAAACCCAGGTGACCCTGAATGGACTAATTAGCTTGTTAGGGTTAACTAGGGTCAGCCTAGAGGATTCTGTGAGTTTTTAGGTGTCTGGCATGCTGTGTTTAGGATTTTGTTAAATGAGTCATTCAGTTTTGTTTCGATCCTACCAAATTTCCAGTTCTATCACCTGTAATTTTATTGGAATGGAGACAAAGGCAGGGTAGTGATCAGGTTTTAGACAGATACACGTTATGAATTCCTCAGGGCAAATTGAGATCATTACATCTTTTCTTGATGCCGTCAGTTATGGTGGGCCTCCTCAGAGTACTCCCGTGACCTCAAACCGTTCGCTTGGTGGACCAAAGCTAAGAATTAAACCAGCCAAGGAAGGCCAAAGTAATTAATATTATCCTAACTGTCAAAAAACAGAAGAATATACCAACAGGAGCAAAGCCCAATGAAAAAATAGTCAGTCGGAAGAGCTGAGCAGAATTCTAAGGACAGGCCACTGGACGTGTCTAAGCAAGTCAGCTCTGTTGGCACTGAAGAGCTCTGGGCAGATGGGCATCCTCACGTGTCACAATGGCTTTGTCTTCCAAAGGGAACTTTGTGCTCCACAGACGTATAACTGGAAAGAGACGCAGGGACTCTGGTAATGAGCCGGCACATCGGTGACTGTGGATTAGCCGACTCAGGAGAATCATCTAATCGAGGTTAAATTACCGGGAAACGTGTGACTTTCCATCAGCGCGGTGTGAATGCTGCCAGGGCACTTTGCATACTTACGTAAAGTGTTATCGGTATTTCACGTCAGCGCTTTGCCTTTTCTGTTATACATGTCACACGTATGAATTTTTCATAGAAAACGTGTTTACTGCAGTCTGCTCCCCCTCCTGGGACTGCCGTTCTCGCACACTCAGAATCGATGTCATTGTGTCTTTTTGTCCAGAACCAGATACCCCAGAAAGGTGCAGTGGCGAGGCGGACCCTGCAGTGCCATCCTCTGTCGCATGCTTACTGCATCTCCTTATCCACAAGATGAATATTTTAACTCCTCAGTTAGCGCCCTGGCGTAAAATCCCTTAGGAGCCGGACAGCAGGGTCACTCTTCACTATATATTTTCCTGTACATATATTTTTCTCCCCTTAGCTGTTAATAGCTGTATTATAAAATGCCTTTCGGTCATCGTGCTGGGTCTCCCTACTTCGGGTTTGCGGCGGAGATACATAATATATCTTTGTATATATTCACCAAACTTGTTAACATGCCTACCTTCCTATTTTACGAAAAAAAAACTTATATGCATGTAAGGAAATGGGTGAATAATAAACTAGAAATTTTGCATTTAACAAACTTATCCACAGTGAGGTACGCTTGAGAAAGCGGGGTCGAGCTTGGGATGTGAACCGACGACTTCCTGATCACGGACACAGCATCCTGAGCCGCCGAGCCGCACGGCGCTCTCTGCATAAACAGGCAAAATCTCCAGCACAGGGTCATAGTCAGTCTGGGTTTTGGAGCCACAGGAAGAAACCCACTAACCTGCAAGTGAACTGACAAAATACACAATGCCTGACTGTGGCACCGTGCTGTTCTGCATCGAACTCACAAACTATATTAAGAACATTACATCAGATTTATATCCAAAACAATGTAGATTTTTAAGAAAGAAGGGTCAGACAGTCCATGGAGCGACTGGGGGGTTAAGGTCCTCGCTTAAGGGACCAGTGGTTAAACCGCTCTATTGATCATGGGATTGGAACTGGTGACCTTCTGATCCCAGGCACGGCGCCCAGACCCACTGAGCCACAGAACACCCCTGTAGCTCTTAGAAATACCAGTGTGATGAGGGATAAAGGGTAAACTGGAGACAAGAACAAGGAAACTGTAAAACACAGCAGAATGACGACCCTGTAATGCTGCCATTTGACCTTTACCCAAAACACAGCAGTGCTGGTACTCGCCGGCATAGCATTCATGAAGAAACAGTGCAGGAGTCTTCATGCTAAAAGGCGGAATTTCAAATGGCCATGAAATCCAATAACCTTGGTAAAGATACCCCCCCCCCCAGTGACCTTCCTTAGCCCACAAGGCTCAGATGAGTGAAATAGCCAGGAAGTGCATTAGCTGCCTCCTGTGCCTGACGATTACGGGAGCGCATGTTCCCTACCGAACGTATACACTACTGTAACAGAAATCCTACAGGGACAACATCATGGGGGGCAGGCCAGTAAATACCGCAATGCATTCAAATGGGAGCGGAGAGAAGCTGGAATTACACGTGTGTCGGCCGTGTCCCGTCTTGGCAAAAAGACGCGGAATACATCGGTTTCAGCGCCATCAATTCTCGCCACGTTTTTCGCACTGTTTTCGTGGCAGACAGCCGTGAGCTGCCGTTTTAGCTGCCAAAGCCCGGTTCTGTCCCTTATAAAGAGCGCCGATGACTGGGCAGTTCTCCACACGCTCCTCATCCCCAGCCGAGCCCTGCTCCGGTTTTTGGCGGGAACAGGTCTCCTGGAGGACAGATAAGGAGGGAATATTTATGATTATGATGGATGGGGGGGCGTCCACCCCGAACTGGTCCCTTTTATACAAACATAACAGAAAGCCGGCTCACCAAAGCGCTGGCCCCGAAGCCTGTGTTCACCATTTTCCTGTGGGATGTATCCTCTGTTCCTGACCTGGTACCACAGAATAATGGCGCATTCTGTTTGGAGTCGTTCAAAAGCCAAAGCCACACTAGCTTTTACATAATTCTTCCAGGTAGCTACGGTAACAAAAGAGACCACACTAATGTGCACACCCACACTGGGGGCAGGTAGAACAATCGATACCGACAACAGCAGCCCCCTGATCATCCCAGACGGCCCCTCCCCCCATAGATATATTTTTTGTTTTTCCCAAGGGGGTGGTTTTTGTTCCCATTATATGCAATATAAATCCACACAGATCGTTTACATGCTGCACTCTAAGTAAATGGGAACTAGACCATGTTTTTTATATTATAAAGGTAATTCTCATTTTAAAGAAATGGTCAGGTTTGAATTGTCATAATAATAGGATTCATTTTGCTTTATATTGACAATCATTCGTCTTCATCCTCTATGGTATTATTTCATACTTTTACCAGCAATTTCATAAAGGTCCGATTCATTTATTTGACTGTGCTACGGTCCTGAGAAGTCTGTAAGCTCAGGTAGGCTGCCGTTTGGGTTTCAAGGCGCGACTGCAGAAATGGAAACTCTACCAAACCTGGGGGGGGGGGGGGGGGGGGGGGGAAGTCAGAGGGTCTAGCACAATTAGCCGAAATGTCAGCCATTTCTAAGTCTCGTTACCCGAGCGTCTGTACCGGAAAGTCATTGGCTACTGATGTGAGATAGAAGCTGACAGTCATGATTCCCCGTTTCTCTGCGAACCTCTTGGGAAAACAGCCACACTGAGATTTTTCCCAGAGGAGGGAGAAGCGGCCTTGTTTATCTACGCCGGGAAAAGGTATAGCACTGTTATTGAAATGTGCTGTGAATTCTCATGGAAGGACATGACTTTATTCGTTTATATGTACATATATTTAAATAAATTCATAATTTTTAATATGTTTGTGAATATGTGATATATATAAAACACAATACCGAAGAGAAAAAAGAAACAATAAACGTTTAATGGCTTCTTCCATTTTATGTGCATTTTAAAAGCGACACTAAAAGATTCTTATTGGAAGAACATTAGAGTGGAGATTATGCTTCCATATGAGCATTACAAACACACAATGTGAAAATAAACTCACAAATGGACTCTGTGAACAAGCCACTCGCCAGTCGTCTGCTAACCACAGAGACTAATTGGGCAAATATGTCTAAATCAGCAAATTTGACCAAAAGACCTTTAGAATGAGAGAAGTTACATTTGTTAAAAGAGACGCCTATTAGACAGCTCTCTAAGGTTCATTAAAGACAACATTTCCCAATGTAAAATTCACCATGAAAAGCATGCATCATTAAATATGGAAATCCTGAATTTTATTAGCAATCTGCTAGATCTTAGCTGACGCCAATTAAATAAAAGGAAGATATCATTTATTAGGGCCGAGTTCATATTCTGTTAAATACAAAATGTAATTTTCGCCCGTTTTTGATTTATTGCCAGTGGTGGATTGTTCAAAGAGCCATGTTACATTTCAATAGAAAAATATTGTTTATGCATTAAATTTTTAAACC